GCCTCTAACGGGGAATCTGACAGCTCGCAAGGCCCTGGAAAAAAGGACCCTCCCCGTTAATGACACTCGTGCTCACGGACCGCAGGCCCGAGCTGTCAAAGATCCCCGGGCGTCTCCTCCATTCAGCGACCAGTATGCCTCCCCTGGAGACCCGGCGTCACGACGGGGACGCACTGCATACCCCACTCCCCATGCACGGATTCGGGGTCTGCTCCGCAAGGCCCCGGAGGACGACAGGCCTAGGAGACACCCGCCCGAAAAGGGGCACGAAGTGGGCCTGGCTTGGACCCCGCCCCTCCCCGGAGCCCCGACTCCCGAGGAGAACACACTTGCTGCAGGGAGGCGCAGCCCTGGCACCGCGAGCGCTCCGCTGCCGTCCCGGACGCCGCCGACCGCGTCTCGCCCGGCATCATGGTGCTGCCGCCGGGCGTGCTGGGCCCACACGCCTCAGCGGCCCGTGACCCCGGCCCCGTCCTGCCTCCGCCGGGCCCGCCGCCTGCCAGGCCGCTTCCCGCCGCGTCCAGGCGGGTCCATCCGTGCACAGAGGTCCCCGTGGAGCTGACTAGCGGCTCTCGGAGTCAGAGCCGCCTCAGACACCACCGAGAAACGCTAACCGGCGCGGCCCAGCGCGACGCGGCCCCGCCAAGGCCCGGCCCCGCCCTGCCTCGCCCCGCCCCTCGCCAGCTCTTGGGGCTGCCTGAGGAGCTGCCTGAGGAGGATGGACTCAGAAAGCCGAGCCTCGGCGTCAGAGAACATGCCAAAAAAGCAGAAATACAAACATATGAGCTTATATGAGCTACACGTCATTCGCTGATACAGGCCTGAGCCTGCTTTGGGGGCGCGGTGTGAGTCAGACATGCAGTAGACACCTATAACTTTCTAAGCGGGGCGGGGACTGGCTTTGACGTCACACAGGCGCCGGGTGCCGTGGAAGGCCCCAGACTCAATTGGGCTGTGCGCTGTTTATAACTGGAGGGTGATGTGGTGTCCGGAGCTTCGACCCGGGCCCGGGAGGGTCAAGATAGGGCAGGACGGCGTTTACGACGCGCTGCGCGGGCCGAGTAACTCCACTGGCCGGCAGGCTGCAGCCCAGGGCCTCGTGGAGGCGTGGCCGCAGGGGACCATTTTTTCCTGCGGGCGCTTCTTTCCCTCGGGCCACACGTCTTTGCACCTTCAGCCTTTGCTTTTGGGCCTTCATTCCTCGCCCTTGTCTCCAGAGCCCATCGCCGTGCTGCCCGGGACCTGCGGCCTGGACCCTCACCTGTGGCCAGCTTTCCCAAGCCCACAGCGTGACCCCGCCCCCTCCAGAGTCGGCGGCCCAACCAGGCCTCCGCGTCCCGCTCCCAGGCTGGCTGGACTCTGACTCTCGTCCCCCACCCCTGCCCAGGGAGAGCTGATCCATGGAGCTGAGGCCAGTCCTTTTTTAGGCGCCTCTGCTCCATGGAGCCGAAGATTTGCAGGGCTCGTTTTCCGGAGGTAGATCATCAGAACTTTCTTAGGCGTCTGCTCCATGGAGCCGAGGGTTTGCAGGGCTCGTTTTCCGGACGTAGCTCTCCAGTCCTTTCTTAGGCGTCTCTGCTCCATGGAGCCGAGGGTTTGCAGGGCTCCTTTTCCGGACGTAGCTCGCCAGTCCTTTCTTAGGCGTCTCTGCTCCATGTAGCAGAGGGTTTGTAGGGCTCGTTTTCTGGGCATAGATCGCCAGTCCTTTCTTAGGCGTCGTCTCTGCGTGGTTCTGACCTTTCATTTGGCTGCTGAGCCCCGCAACCCTTTGCAGCGTCTAGTACCCATCCTATATTTATTAATGTCTTCTCAGTAACTGGTGGGTAGCCAGGCGCCACTCTTTTCTTTGATCAGAAGTTTTTCCTTCACAATGTTGTGTACTGTCGTCGAGTCGTACAAGCGATCCAATGAACGAAAGACCTGAACACTTGTATAACTTTCATCGTTTCTCCAAGTTCACAGGGTTACCAGAGGCAAGCTCTTTCGGAAGTGGATTATAATCTCAGCTGCTGCCCAGCCTTCCTTGAGCTTGCTGAGTTAATTGCGCTTAAACTTTGTGTCACTGCAAAGTGGTCTTGGCTGGCCCACAGGTAAGACCACTGCGTCCATTTAGCAAAATTGCAGCCAGCCTCCAACTGCTATGTTAGTTCAATGACTAGAGGCTTAATCTTTAGCATTCAGACTTGCTTACTTTTTCCCATAGGAGCCTGGATGGCTTAGTGGTAAGAAACTGCCCTGCAATCTCGAAGGCAGGGGTTTTGAATCTACCAGCCGCTTTGTGGGGGAAGGCTGGACAGTCTCCTCTCTAGCGATTTATCGCCTCTGAAAACCCACTCGAGGGTCAGCTGTGGGTCACGTCCAACTCTGTGACACATAACCACCACCACTGACTGGTCTTGGGAGGAGCTTGGGACCACATTTTGAACTTGGAGATTCGGGGATGCCAGGAGCGGGCCAGTCTGAGTCTCCTGGGTCTCTCTTCAGATATTGTCAGACTAGAGGGTCTTCCCTCTGCCTTCTCTCCAGGAAGACAGCGTTCAGGCTTGGGTTTTCTGACCTTGCCCTTGGACAGCCAGAGCTAGCTGATGATCTCAATTCTAGTTTCTTTAAGGTCACACAAGCACCTAATGCTGATTTTGAGAGATGCAGAGGTCACGACATAGTAGTGCGTTTGCTCTTCTAACTCCAAGATTGTGCCCCTCTGGCCTTTAGAACCTGGGGAAAGACAGGGAGTGGCCTCCCTTGCCACTCAAAACCCTGATGGAGGGTCAGCTGTGAGTCAGTGACTTAAAGGCAATGAGTGAGTTTTGAAGACATTTCTTATGTCTCATGCCACTCTAGAGAAATGAACGTTCATGTTTGATTATTTTGAGACATGTGTTAGGTCCTTTTAGGGAAATTGTTTAAGACATAGCTCACATCCTTCTCTGTTCCTACTTTAACTCTGAAATATTCTACTCTCAAGTCTCACTATAAATGCACAGCTGTGGCTTAACATTTTTTGAAGTAAGGCTAATCATGGCTTATAGATTTACAGGAGCGTTCATGATACTGCCTTGCACATGTGTGGTTTGAGAGCACTGCAGAAATTGCATAGTGTCAGAGAAAAAGAGACGACCCTCAACAAGGATAGACAAAGTGGCAGCAGCAGTGGACTGAGGGATGGCCCAGGACAGGGCAAGGCGCAGAGCTGTGTTCACAGGATTGCTATGAGCTGGACCCGACGATACCTAACACTCATCAGGTTATTGTTATGTGCTGTTGAGTCAACAGCAGCTCATAGTGACCCTCTGTACAATAGCTCTAAGCCCTACCCTGTCGTGAACTGGCTCCCACACACCTATCCCCATTGCCCCAGTTATTGTATCCATCTCATCTTGGGTCTTCCTCTCTTGCACTGTCCCGCCACCCTTCCAAGCATGATCTCTAAGGACACGTGCCCAAAGTATGTGAGAAGGAGCTTCAAAATCCTTTCCTCCAAGGAACAGCCTGGTTTTACCATCTCCAGGATAAACCTTTTTGTTCTCTTGGCAGTCTATACTGTGTTCAGTATTCTTCTCCAGCACCACAACTCAAAGGCATCACTCATTTTGTGAACCCTACTCATTGCCCAGCTCTCATGTATATCAAATAATTGCAAAGATCAGGCACTGGTTATTCTCCAGAATGATATTGTTGCACTTTGTAGCAGTGTTTGATGATGTAGCATTTTGGAGAGAGGTCCCTTACAGCAGCTTTCTCCAGAGCAGTAAGTCTTTTGACTTCCTGACTGCTGGTGCCAAAAGTGTTGAATGTGGATCAGAACAAGCTAAATTGTTAACAACTTCAATCTCTTCCCCAGCTATCATGGTGCTGCCCTTTTCCCAGTGGTGAGAATCTTTGTCTTCTTAATGTTATGCTTCAATCTTTGATCTGTAGCAAACTCAGCACCACCAAAGATTACAGCCAATCAAAGCTCATGGAGGAGTTCTACATGGAGCTGCCATGAGTTGGAATCAGGGCAATGTGTTTGGGTTTGTGCCTTTTTTTATGTGCTCAGTGACTACCACTTGGAATGGGGAGGGGGGCTGGAAATCCAGCTGACAGTAGTTTCTGCAGTAGGCGTTTAAGACGGACCTGTACTCAGCCTGTCCTCTGAGATAAAACCAAGCCCACTGCTGCCTAGTCAGTTCCAATGCATGGTGACCCACCACCAGGATTCTGAGGTCTTAAATCTTCACAGGAGGTATCTACCCTTCTGTCTCTTTCCCATGGAGGAGCTGGGGAATGGAACCACTTACCTCTCCCTTAGCAGTCCAGCCCACTACACACTATGCCACCAGGGTAGAACCCAAGAGTAGGATGAGAGGGGAAGAGGTGTGCAGATGCACAGTAGGACTAGGTACTCTGGCCAACTGACTATGGTGGCCATGAAAGGAGTGGGAGACAGGGGCGGGCGGGAGTCCCCAAGGTCCTCCCACTTCTGACTTGGAGACTGCTCACTTCACAGTGAGCACCCTTTTAGTTAAGATTTCTCCATTTCTGTTCTTGTTTCTAGCTTACTCCACAGCCTTCTCCCCCTTGTCCACACACAGACACAGAGCACCCCTGGGGTGGGGCATGGAGGGGCTTCCCCTGGTGCTCTTCTGTCTGGATGTTTGTCCACATTCCCCTGCCTGGACCTCCCTCCCTGCTTTGCCTGTTTCTGTCCTCCCTACTCTCCCAGGTCCCAGCCCCAAGTTTGCCCGCCTCCCTGTGTCCCTTCACAGGAATCTTTGACAGTGCCACATTTTCAGTTGACTCAGTGATTTTTCTTGTCTTCTTTAAGATCCAGTGAAAGCACGTACATGGTGTAAATCAAACATAATGCAAGGACAAAATAAGGAACTGTCAAACATTAACTATGTCTCCTCGCCAGTTCTCCAGACCACCTGAAGCGGGAGTCAACACAGCCGTGTTTGTGGAATGCAGGCGTCAGGGAATGTTTTCTGTACCAGCTCACAGCCAGTTCTCCAGGCTCTGAGCACGGGAGGCCTCAGCTCCAGCACTGCCCGCTTTGGGTTCTGACAGCCTTTTATTAGAGGGAAATTGGAAGAACCTGGTATGGGGAAAAAAAGTATTTGAATTTTGTAAATAAGTATATTATTATTATAGTCCAGCTTATTTACAAAATTTAGATACATTGTTTTTCACACCAGGTTCTTCCAATTTCCCTCACCCCCTCCCATCAAATTGTACAAGCCAATGATTAACCCCCCACATCCTCATCCCTCTGCTCCCACCCCCCTCCCCTGATCCTCATACTCATTCTATAATAATGGTTTTATACAATATTTGTCCTTGTGGGACTGAGTTAGCTCGCTCAGCAATAATGCTCTCCATTCCCCAGTTAGGTAATAATTTACAAAATCATTAACAGGACAGCAAATAATGAATCTTGGAGAGGATGTGAAGAGAGAGCAATTCTTATACATTGATGGTGGGATTGTAAAATGGTACTGCCACTCTGGAAGGCAGGTTGGCACTTCCTTACAAAGCTGAATATACAAATTCCATCTGACCCAGCTATTCCATTGCTTGGAATATACCCCAAGAAAATGAGAACCGAGGT